TTCTTGAATTAAGGAGGTAAATGAGACACTTTGCCAATGGAAAAAGACAATTCACTTTTAAGACAAGGAAAACAATTGAATTGTCTTATTTCAAGTGCATATTGTTAAACTATCTTATTTTAAGAGTAAAAATATTCATTTCATTGGCAAATAATCTTATTCACCTGGTCAAATTAATGCTAAATACACTTAATTTAAGAAAGTTTGACTTATTTCTAGATTGCTTCTGAAGTGAGGAAGCTGTGTTACAGTGCTTATTCTAGCTTATTTTAGAATCTGGAATACAGATATAAAAATAGGGGTATTAATATTGGATATCGGTCAGATATTGAGCAAAAACATAACATTGGATTATACTAACCGGCATCTAGAATCTCTGTTGGATTTAGATTTTCTGTATCTCATCAGTTAATACTTCATGGGTCAGTTGCTCTCATATATTTTGTTGTTGAGTTTTGTTCTTTGTTTTAATAGCGTCACTTGATCATGCCTTTTCTAACATTCTACAGTAAAAAATAAGTAATAAAAGTATGTATGATTCATACTGATATCATATCAGGTCAATATTGTATCAGCCATTCCTTAAAGCTGAAATATCAGTATTGTATGGGAAATGAAAATGTTTTATTGGGACATCGCAAGTTAAGAATAATTAGAAATAATTTCAGACTACTTTTGTCTCATTTGTACTTTTATTCTTAAAATAGAAGTTTTATACGTTTCTGGTATACTTTTGTGTAACAATAACTTGACATTGGGCCAATTTCTTTTAGTATGACAAGAATTCACATTTATCTTGCTGCCATACATAATGAGGGTTACCATAGCTACCGCTATTTGTTATCCACATGTCCATATTTCAGATTGAGGCAAAGAAATCTTTTACGGGCTTCAGTTCCAAACGTGCTGAGTTTGCTAAACTCTAATAGGGCCTTAACTGACTTAGATGAGCTTCTAAGCAACAAAAACACTCTAGGCGGATATGATGTAAAACTATCTCTTAATAGGGGGAGAAACTCACCATGCCCTAAAAATCTTGTGAGAGTACCTTACATTATGAGCAGATTATAAGTAAGGAGGTCTCTGATTCCACTGCTGAATTAAAGGGTCGTTAAATGTGTCCTGTAGTGCATGTCTTTTAACAGTGTGAAGACCTGATGGGCTCTTTTAAACCTACTTTTCTTTACTATGAGGCAGACAGGAGGAACTCTGCTGCAGAGAGCTGATATCTGGTCAGAGGAGATCGGGGCCACCAGACGACCTGAGGCAAGACGACCTGAAGCCAGGCGACCTGAGGCCAGACGACCGGAGGCCAGACAACCGGAGCCCAGACAACATGCTGCTGTGGAAAACACTGTAAGTTCAACAATGTCAACCACTGACTGAGCAACCAATTGTCTAGTCTGTAAATTATTCATGTAGAGCTGGAGCCCACCATGGAAAATCTGTGTAACTCTACAGCAATGATGCTGAAATATAGGGAAGTCATGTCTTTGGGGAGTACATGGAGTCATTTATTGAATGTAAATCAAGTTATATTTTTTTTCTTTTTAAATTTCTAAAACATTTGTTAGATAAAATAAAACCAGCAAAGCTGCAATTACTTTTTATCTTTAGAAGTTCCTAATAACAAAGTCATACAGAAGGAAAATATATTCCCAGCAAGGATTATTCAGATACAATGGTGCCCTCCAGTGGAGGGTTTGTGGTTTAATTAGAGCAACCAAGAATTACAGATTACCTTTAGTAGACCATTCATTCTGTAAAATAAATAAATAAAAATGAAATAATAATCATTAGTAATCATGATTGGATTACTTCAGCATTAAACCCTGTTGCTCAAATTAAAGGTGATGAGGCAGGAGCACACGTCAATTTCAGTAATAATCACAGGATTAAGAGGGATTAGGGTTTTTCTGTTTGGCAGATGTTATAAATTGTTAAATACTGTCGAGCTAATGGTATGTTCAGTGTGTTAACAGTTAGACTTTCTGTTGACTTGCTATATTGTCTTTATGCAAGCATGGTTGGGAAAAGTAGCAGCCGAGTACTAAACAAAGCAAAATATTTATAGATTAACGCCGTCATTTTGAGTTATCAATGTCAGAGGAATGCTATAGGAATCCCAACCATTCTGTAATTAATGTCTTAAGAAGATATAGCTTCTAAATTCAACAACAGCAGACTTATTCAGAGACAGAAGTCAAATATACCTCCCTAAAGTATTTATAACACTTTAACTTCTTGGCATTTTCACACAGGAACCACAAATAAGAAAATAAATATATGTTGTTGTTTTTTTTGTCTAAGCAGACTGGATTGCCTCTTAAATCCTTTTGCTCTGATTCTATTTCTTTTTTCTCAGAATTTAACCAATAGGGTTACATTTCACTCAGTCAAAACTCATGTGTGTGCTATGGCTGATCAGGTTCAATAGTGAAAAAAGTTAATTACACTAAGATAGATTAAGCTATATAATATCACATTGGTCTATAGATCTAACCATTGGTGCATGAATCTGAGTAAGGAAAGGAATCAGTGAGAAAAGCAGCTGCAATATTGCTCAGGTAGGTAAGTTAGTTGGCAGGATAACTGTTAATCATGACTATAGAAATCTGACCTTCAAGGAAAAGTGGTAAGATGACAACTTAAGTTGAAATCAGAGCACACTCCTAAAGTGGAAGAATGTTTTCTGACCAGTTGATGCCAAAAAAGGGTCTACCTTCCAATTACCCAACGGACTAACACTAACATTAACCCTAAAAACATCCTTTATGGTGAAAAATGCTGATGGCTGCATCACAATGATGAGGTTCCCCTTCCAGGAGGACAAAGAGTAGCCAAATCTGGACTAAACATTTAGAAGTATATATTTAATAACATTGGTTCAAAGAAATACACCATTCAACCTGAATAGGCTTGAATGATCTTGATCAGGATAATTAACATAAAGTAAACTTGCTGTAATGCTTACAGCTGTCTTTGCAACAAAAGATAATTCTATAACTTGTTGACTCAGTGGATGGGGAAATATTACAATAATTTTCTTTCCACTGCACAATTAGTGTAACAATAAAATCCCTAATAGATTTATAATTATAGTTGTAATGTGACAAAATATGGCAATTGTACTTTTGCAAGCGCTTGTTTTCTCACAATAAAGAAACTGCTGAAATGTAGGAATGGCTCTCTGGAGCTATGAGGCTATTAAATTGACAAATGCATCAAATACTGCCAGACTTATGCATAAATACATGTTTACAGGGAGGAATGAGGTCGGAAGACATCAGACAGATCCGAGAGGAGATGACTCTGGGCAGGGTACCCTCAAGGGGTGAGTGCTGTCTAGTTAAAATATATAAGTTATTACATTTTCAAACAATGCCAAGATTTTCATAGTAAAGCCCAAAAAAAAGTTTAGTGTTGAATAATTTCTTTGTGTGTCTCTCATTCATTTTTTCCTGTAGATTACATTCAGGCAGCACTCCTGATTAATTCCAGTTTATCTGATTGCTCCTAATTATTTCATTCTTTTCTTTTCCCCTTTATTCATCCTCATAATTTTCAAATATAACATTATTTGTATTCTTCTGAGGAATCTCTAATTATTCAGCTTGCTTATCTAAAGTAAAAAATAGACCCAATATTGAGAAATCAACGTCTGACTATAAGCAATCCCTACCATATGAGATACCCCTCCTCATTATAGTCAACTTTCTGCCCTTCTGAAACTCTGCAAACAGCAGGCCTGCTGTCTGAAGCTGCCAAGCTGGTGCTCACTGGAGAGAAGAAAAATGGCACCTTGTTGAGCACAATCAATTTATCTGCATCTCCCGCTGCTGAAACAAAGGAAATTAGCATGGAGATTTAGGAGTCTGCTCAGAATCATAATGCATGTAATTAGGAATAATAATGCATTAGAACTTTAACATGCAAATTTTAGCAAACATTTAAAATAATTAAAATAAAACCCCACTATTCATACCCTCTAATGAATAATTTCACCTGTTTATCAGCTAGATTCGTGCTTCAGCTAACTGCTCTCTGTGTGTTTAACCTGTTGCTCCCCCAGCACCGTCCCCAGTGGGGAGCGTTTATCGCTCTCGAGGAGGCGGAGGAGGTGTGTCCATGAGAGCCAAGGTGGCCCACCAGCCGGCTGGCAACAATCCTACCCTGCTGCCGTTCTCCAGGGGACAGATCATCACGGTTATGGTCCAGCAGCCCAGGAACGGCTGGCTATACGGAAATACTGAAAACGGTTCAAAGTATGGTACCGTCCCTGTGTGTTTGGGTTTGAAAGAATGCATATATCTCAATGAGATATCCATTAATAATTACCATATGAAGCCATCTGTGTTATCTGCCCTCTTCATTTTCAGTCAGGGATGGTTTCCAGCCTCCTATGTAGAAGAACTTGATGATCCTCCAATGTCCCCCAACTTGCGGTAAATTCACCTATTGATTTCTATGTCAACCTTAGATGCTTCATAATCAAACGTAATAAAATATGCATCAATTTACTCTTGATTTTCCGGATATTAATATTTTTCTGATTTTTTTAAAAGAATATATCCATCTTACTATAATTAAAATAGTGATCGAGGAGAAGTAAAACATTAAACATGAACAATTGCTTTGGTTTGGTGTACATTTTAGGGATTACAATGTTTGGTCTTATTAACAACAGACACACTGAAAAAAAAATCCACATTCTTTGGGATATTAAGAATTGTTTGGAAATTCATTTTCATGCAAGGGGGCACGTTTAAAGAGTTTGGTGAGGGTCTAACAAAACCTTTTTTTCCACTATCATGCTGAAATTCTTTTTGAATTTTGAGGAAACACTGGAGCAAATTTGGGTGAACTTAAGTTACATAAACCCATTTGGATGAACAGCAAAAAAGATATTTATGTTATTTCAACTCCTAAATCTTACCAAATTTGCAGTTCAGCAATCATAGTACAAGTTTTCTGACACTCTAAATGCATCATTTAGCTAAAGCCATAATCTACCAAGAGGTTTAACAGGTGAACATTTCAGAGCATAAAGGGGAAACAGTCACAAGAGCTGAAGGAATTCATGATTAAAAAATGTACAAAACGCATCACAAATTACTGATATTCTCAATTTCTCCAATCTACTGATGGTGGTTTAGAAGTTAGTTCCTCAAGAGAAAACATCCAAGCCTCCGTTTCAAACTCCCTTTAAAACTTGTGGGAAAAGTGTTGTTCTACTTTGCAAAGAAGGACGAGCAAAACTAAGTCTGTAGATGTGGAATGTGGGTAGAAATAAGCCCCAAAAGCCTTGAATCGCAGCAAAATCCCTAAAAATGTACAGCCTATCAATAAAAACGTTATAAATAATTACAACTGGATGAAGTAGCGAATTGAAACAGTAAACATGCTTTCTGAGGTTTGGCTGAATTAAAAAAAAAGAGAAACAGCTCATGTTCAATTGCTCCAAGGCTGTTCCTGTTATTTATGGTGTCTAATAGCTTTAAAACAGGGACATTATCAATTCAAGCCTGGAATAATAAAATGAACTACATAAGATATATGGGTGACCCATAGCTGTTAGGAAACCCACCCAAAACTATTAGACTAATCCTTTTATTGCAGACATGGACACAGCAAAATATCTACAGATAGAAATGAGCCGAGCAACAATGGGAACATCTTTATTACTGTACTTTGTCTCTGATAGTTTTTTTTTTCAGCTCTTTACTATTATGTTATTTTTATAGACTCTTTTATGATCTACATTTGTGTGACCATTTTTTCTATAATCTTTTTGCCGCTGTACCACCAGCATTTCCCCTTTGTGGGACAATAAAGGGAATTTTTATTCTGTTCTATTCTATCTACGTATGTGGTAAATACTTATAAGATCTTAAGCCTTCTGACACAGTAAAATTTATTATGTTCAAGATAAAGAAACAAAATGTGAGCAAAAGGCTTCCTGGGCATGATATGAGGAAGATTTGGGATCTTAAATGAGCAGAAGTGCTAAAAATGAATTTCTATTCCCTCTTCTAGTAACTCCAATCTCCACACTAACATGAGCAACCTGGTCAGACCAAGAGCCAGCAGTACCAACAATGGTATGTTTGATCAGCCAAAACCAAGCAACAAGAACTTCAGCACTAACAGCAGCATCGGCAGCACAGGTGGAGCCCAACCCCCTCCACCTCCACCTCCAATGCAGACGTCATCTGTGAGTAAACAAAAGCAGAGCTGTCGATCTGGGACCAAAAACAATGAATTAAGTCAGAGAATGATAAAGAAAGCGCTCTGAAGATGAATAGTTAATTGTTTTACTGAGCTAAATCTTATGATCTTATCTGAACTGTCTGTTGTTTTCAGCCGATTGTACTTTTTACAATCGAACACACACAGAAACAATAAAGCAGAACGAGAATGGATTTGGATTATTAGATTTCACTCCTTCACGCTGATTTTCATCTTGCTTGTTTGGCAATACTCATTAAGGTTTGGGTGATCTATAGAATTCACACGCTAGATGTGACGTATGACTTTAGGGACTGAAGTATGGAACTGAAGTATTCTCTGTAGGAAGATTAAAGGAATGTTGTTAAATCAACATTCTAATGATTTTACAGCTCAGTTATTTTCAAAGAGTTGCAGATCTTTAAAAGATTTTATTAATATATCTTAAACAAAGAAAAGCATCTCGCTTCCAATGCTCTGGAGGATTTTCACTCAGCAACTTTAATGTAGATGTTTAAAAAAGTCCTGAAATGATCTCCTCTTAAATTAAAGTAACCTTATATTAATCCAACCTTCCAGGAGAAGAAATATGTTTTAACAAACTCATGGGATAAGAACTTATTGCAGATTTCAATGCTTTCTTCAACAGACCTCAATCTTCAGTTTTCTGTCAGAGCAGCAGATTTTGACTGACAGTTTCCCTCTATCTCGAACTATTTATGACACCGGGATCTGTGAAAATGTTTCAGGGAGTTTGGAAAAAGAAATAAGCCCACAGCACCACAGATCCTCCAACCTAATTTGCAGTAGCCATGACATACTTTTCACATGTTTTTGTTAACACATCTGGACTGTTTTTTGTTTGCTTTATTTGAGAAGGAGCTCAATCTTAATCTAATTTAGGGTTGCTGTGACTCAGTGGCTAGATTAGTCATTTTTTAGGCTGAAAGCTCATTTAACTCCAGCCATCTTTTCCAGCAAATGCCACCGTGCTCTTGTGTAAGACGCAAAGTCACAGTTAAGGGCTGTTCATTTTGTTGCTTAGGTGCACACGCAAGCTGTCCCTCTGCCTCTCTAGTAAGAAAGTGAAAAGGCACAAGAGAGAAAGAGCAAAGTAAAGTATGCACTGAGGACTTATAAGCAAATATAAGTATTTTACACTGCTGTTAGATTAATGACTTGCTGTATATCCAGCACTCTTTAACAGACAGTAGAAGACACTTGATTAAGGAAAATACCTCACTATGCAAAATAACTTTCTTACACTCATCATATCATTCATCTCAGTTTATTTTTATATCCTTTGTGCAATTCTTTACCTTAATTTTATTTATTTTTTTTACAAAGACAAATAAAATATAAAATTAAGGCTTTTAAAATTTTGGAAATATTCACAAAATCCCTCCGTCTTCCAAAGAGCCAGCAAACATATAGCAACCTTGATGCGGTTCCTTACATGTATTGTACGTGTATCTGCCCATCTGTCCAGCAGGGGCACTGTGGCAGGGTGCTGTTCTCAATGACACCTCAGCCTTCTTTCTGGTGGATGCAGGGAGGGAGCTCCAGCTGCTGAGGATGTGAGCCCAGGGGTAATTTAAAGATGTGTGCTGTGGTTTGGTTTGTTTCTGCAGCTTTTCAACCACAGAAACGGACTGCCTAAACATCCTTTTCCCTGTGTCTTCAGCATGTTTCGAAGCTCTGTTAAATTTAAATGAATAATAGAAGTAGATTTATTCGCAAAACTAACACACCTCCATATATGCCTTTGCGAAAGATAAAAAACATTGAAAATGATAAGAGTGAAACCAGCATTAAACCATGCTGAGTGTTCCCTATTTCCTATCTCTATTACAAAAATGTGCAGTGGGTGTGTTTGTGGATAATGCACTGTTGTAGGAGGACAGATTAACAGCATATGTGGAAAGAAGCAGTTTGTGTTGATGATGTTGATGATACAGGCCGGCCCTAACTAACCTCCTTCTTCTCCAACTTCTTCCTGCAGAAATCAGAGTCACACCGACCGCAGAGCGAACTTTTCCCAAGGTAAGAATAATAGATGCATCTTCGCTGCTGTTAAAATGAAGGCCATCAATGATGCTGTCCTCTAGAGGAAGTGAGATTTTTTTTTTAAACGTATCATGAACCCATTAAATCCTGGAACAGTAGATGGAGTCAAGGGTCTAAATGACACAGAATGACTTTTCTTCCATTAGAGTTGCACACTGAAACCATTTCAGTTAAAAACGTTTAGGAACTGTGGCCATCAGCGGGACGTCACACAAACAGGTCACTAAATGATGTTTGAAATGTAGCGCTCCCTGGTTGTGGCCCCGTATGCCCAGATCCCAGACATTATTTTAGCTCCACCCATTGTTTCACACCTGATTTGTCTTTTTCTTCTCTCTCTATCTCCTTCTCTCCCTCCATCCTTGTATTTTGCAGGGGGACCAATCCATTTGCTACAGTTAAGTTGAAGCCTACTAAGACCAATGACAGATCTGCTCCAATAATACATCGGAGATGACTTCTTTTCCAGGAAAGAGATGCTTCCATTTAGTTTAACAGGTGGATGTGCAGAAGGGGCTCTTTTGTCAAACCAAAGCACTCATCCGTGTGCCATATTGCCTTCTGAGAAAATACTGTCATATACACCTAGATACAGGAAAAAAACTAATATAAGGTAAATATTTTTGCTGAGATGTAAACCAAAATGCACATCAGCAAGAACGAATCACTGATTATATGATGCTACCCGTATTCAAACCTGTGCCGATTTACCCAGATCAATTTTCTGAAAACCTTTATATAAAAATCATCTTGTGAGTACAGCAATTGCCCATTTAGAGGGGCTAGAAAGTATTCAAACCTCTTGAACTTTTCTTTTCATATTTTGTATTGTTAAAGCCACACTCTTTACCTGGTTGTATTTGGATCTTATGTGGTAGAGAAAACTTCACCTGTTTATTTTCTTGGGAGGAGGGGTTATGAAACAGATTAAATAGATAGGTATGGACTGTGAGTCATTCTAGCAATATGCTTTTAATATGCAACACTTTTCTCTGTTGTTAAGTTTTCGTTCCGAATGATGTCTTCCTGTCATTTTGGTGAGATGCCATATTTTTCTTGGTTGATGGGTTGGATACATGAGGTGTTCAAAGCTTAGGATATATTTTTACATTTACGTTTTACCAATATTTTAATTGTTTTTACTCCAACTCATTTGGAAGGCAGAACCAAAGTCCTATAAAATATTACCAGAGAGCTTACGTTTGACCTTTGATATGAGACATGGCCTGTGTTGACAAAGGGAACCGTCACATAATTTATACCAGGAAAATGCTAAAAAAAATATGGAGTATATCCATGGATGGGATATACTTTTTCAGCCATTAAAGATACCTGAGCTTTTTTCTTCAATCATTCCAGTGTTTTCATATGCATTCAAATGTATTTAGTTGTATGTTATGTATATTATTTTGTAGCTTCTGGAAAGAAAGCTTTATCCTGCCACATGTCTGGGCCTGATCTTTTTCTCCATCTCCATTAATACCCACATGTTCAATATGTGAGATTACTTCTGTTGTTAAATATTACATGTGAAGAAAATGTACTTTGGAAAATGGCTTCTAGAAAATAGTAGAACCTGAGGCAAATGGTGTAAAACTTGGGTGTCATGAATAATTTAATGTATTAAAAGATAATGTCATGCCATCCGTCTGGGATAATAATAATTGATTTTAACTTCTGCACCTTATGTACGAATTGAATGTATCCCTCACTGCTGATAAATATATAATCAAACCTGTCACATATATTTCTTTACACTTATCAAATAAATTAACAGTAATATATGATGTACCATGGAGGTTTTCATCACTGTAAAATAAATATGCTCTCCTTTCTGATTATGAATCCAACCTGTTTCATTGTTTTTGTTCCAGTCTCCATATTCAGCCAGATTTATGAATTGTTAAAGCAGTTGCTGAATATATTGATAACCTATAAGTTTCGGATCTGTTTGCTCAGGCAGTAAGATGTCCTACTAAAAAAGATCAAGATTCCTGCAGTGCTTATTTGGGCTCTCCCCTGGGTATACTTAACCTAAATTGAACCTTGGTGCGAATCCAATTGTGCTAATGGCTTGAACACAGCATGGAACTTCTGGGTAAAGACTCAGTGCCTGCTTGGCATGATCTGGCCTCTTTATCTTGTTCTCACTGGAGAGTGTACATTCATGAATTGGACTCATTAACAAATAATTTCCTCTACAAGAAGTTTTCCTTGGAACATTTATTTGCAAAGGGGTGGTATTTAAGCAACCTTTTTTCTAATCAAAGCTTTGATTATTGCATTCTAGTCAATAAATACTAACAATATGGCGCTTAGAGATCATCAAGGCTCCTTTAAGCACGCCTGTGAGCTTGCTTTAGTTCGTCTCCATAAGTAACAGCAATTAAAGGTGAAAAACCTCCTAAAAGGTTAAAACAGATTGAGTAAATATGCTAAATATTGACAAACAAATAATTTAAATGTTTTAAAGGTATTGTGGAGGATTTTCACTTCAACCAGCTATTTCTTTTCACACATAGACAGCTTTCAGGTTTCTTTCCTGAGATTCCATCATTAATTTGGGGGTTTGGGCTGTTTAATCTGGTGACTTTTAATGTTGCGTTTTTCAAAAATTAAAAGGTTACTTTCCAAATCTTTTGGTTATTTCCCCGGAAGTTACACTTTACTATTTTGAATGTCATCGACTGCACGAAAATAGATTATGGGGTTACTTTTTGTGGAATATAAAAGTTTCTCACCAGAATGTAAAAGTTCCATTTGTTTCACATACCGGCTGCTTTTTTAAAAACTTGTAGGTATAGTGGAGTATTTTTGCAAATTTTTCAAAAGACACGCCCTCTCCGCTTTAAAAAGAAAATGCACATTTACAACCCTGTACACCCCTAAGAGGGAATGCCTATTAAACGCGTACGAGAGCACGCACAAGTCCATTTCTCCTCCTGCACGCTATGTTTGCATCGCTCAAACAACCTTGCTTTCCAAAAGAAGATCTGCAATTTTTCCACTTTGTCAGACTACCCACTGGTAGGGGGGACGAACACGTAGGACAGCTTTACGTAAACAAATCACCAGAATGATTGACAATTAGGAGGACCACTTATTTTGATGATCCACCTGGAAAAAGAACATCCTCCGCTATACCTTTGAAAGAGGAACAAGTTTTAATCTATGGTGATTTTTTTCAGCTCAAGATCAAAACGATACAAACTCTAACACAAACATCCTTCTAATATTTTGCTAAAAGCTGTTTAACAAGTAGAAAATTGATTTCACAAAAAAAATTTATTAATATAGCTCGCTATTTCACCACATTTTGAACAAGATGTATATCGCTGAGCCTGTGATAAGGTGTGCTTCAAAAAATGGTTTTAAATGTTGAGGTTTAACGCCTTTGGAAGCAAAATGGTATCCATTCCTAAATCAGTGGGAAGATATCCATCTTTTTGAAACTCTAATTGGACAAAATATGGATGTGGAACAACCTGAGTATCATCAAAGCGGGAGCCTATCATAAACCTGATTCTGCTGGAACATCAGCATCACCGACCACATCAAAGACAGTACAGATCAGCTTAAAAAAAGAACCCCTTTCCTCTGAGATCTGAACCTTCAAGCTCCAGAGGAGATTTGCAACCTCTGAAACAGACAATCTAAATGCCTTCTGGGGAAAAGTTTGACATTATTGACTAAAAGTGATTCATTCAAACAGAAGAACTCTGTAACAACTGGTCAGCATAGTGGTGGTAGTATTATGCTGTTTTACTTTCAATTGGACTAATATACTGACCAAAACTTGTTTAATCTGCTTTGTTCAGTTCCCAAATACCACCAGAGGCCATTTATTACAAACCAGCAATTATTTACATTTAATCCCAAACCAGCAGCTAGACAGTTAGATCTGGATCATGATTGGTTAGTCCAACAGGGCAATGAATCAAGACATCCAATCTAGTTCAGAAATGGATAAAACATGAAATAAAACGTTTAGAGCGGACATGGTGTCTTACAGAAAATGGATAATGACAGGTAAAAACTTTAACTTTGTTCTTTAGATAAAGAACTGAAGTCAAATATCTGGTCGGGATTACGCCAGAAGTGTTTTGTCTGATGAGGTCTGCATCTTACATCATTGGTCATGTATCATTTTGAATAAGGGAAAATCTGGTTCACCCAAAAATATTTTAACTTGTATGTTCTATTATTATTTCATACTTTATAAAATAGTTGCATACACCTAACCTAACCATACTTGCTCATGATGAGTGAATGTACATTTCTAGCTGGGACTTTATATCTAAAGTGAGTATTAAATATATATTTAAAAAAAAACTTGTCCAGGCTTTGTCTTTTACATTTTTATTTTAATCTTTCACAGCTTGACTTCTGTCATTGGTTTTGTTTACAACAGCTCATTATCAGAGGATAAAGTGATAGATGGTTAGCAGATGGGATGATGGTTTGAGAGAGGGCAAAGGGGAGGAGGAACAGGAAGGTTCACTGAGCCAGACATGACGTTGATAGAAGAAAAGAAGAAAGAGCAAAGAAAGTAAGAAGAAGAACAGGCAGAGAAAAACGTGAAAATAGACGAAAGGAAATGTTCTCTGTTAATATCTACAGTACATGTTCTTTAAAAAGAAAAGTATATAGCTTTATTCCTGCAGGAGTGTTTTATATCTATACATGAACAGAAACATGACCAGTTTGTATAAAAAGGCAAAATTAAATCGACTTTAGGGAGGTTGGGGGGGCTATGGGCTGCGTAATACAGCCTACTCCACTGCAGTTCTGCACTTTGTAAAGACAGCAGTGATGCTGAAGTTAAAGGGAAGGAGCAATGAAAGCAAGGGGGGAGGTGGGGGTGAGGTGCAGTGTTTAATAGGAAAGAGTGTGAGCATGGAGTCAGGATGGTGAGGGCTGGGGGGGGCGCTATACTTCATCATGATGGGTGGCTGTTTATTCTTTCACAAGGGCAGCAAATTCTGAAAGAGAATGAGCAGAGAAGCAGAAAGCAGTTAGAAGTTACTTATCTGCATCACACAACATTTGTCAATCAGAGTAGGATGTATGTGTTTACTACTTTAGCTGAAGAAGGATAAGACATCTGATACGATGTCCAAGATGCATTTAAATCAGACACTTGAGAAACTTTCAAACTGACAGGGAAGCAGAATTGTCTACAAATCAGTAACTCTAAGTTCAGTTCAAGTTTTAGGTCTCTAATGACTGAAATAAACCTTTGTATAAATCACATGCTACCCTAATATAGCTACAACACACCACTGCTGTAGGTTATGAAGCCTTATAGTCTACAAATCCTGTTTAAATATTTGGTCAAAATTTAAACGGAGCAACTTATAGATTTTCATGAATATTTAAACCATATAAATCTGTTCAATTATTTCCCATAGGCTTAATATTTACATTGTTTAAGTCATTTTGAAATAAAATAAAAAGGATTCAAAGCAAAAATAAACACTTTTTACTTGTGCATTGAGAGTGATGTTCAGTCAGTCCTTTTATTTTACTATTTATTTCTTTTATGTATCAAGTTTTTTAGTAATTGGCAACAATAGTTTTAGCTTTTGATTGCCACATATGTTCAAGGATCCATGTTTCTGGTTACAATAAAGTAGGCATTAGGAGAAATAGACCTTTTCTGTGGGAGAACCAACCCCATATACAAAATACTTTCGGGGGGCTTTTTACTTTAGATTCTTCATGTGAACCTGTTTCATTAAAGATAAAAGTTCCCAGAACTTTTGGGAACAGGAGACTATAGAATTACAGTCTTCTGCCTTAAGTAACCTTTAAGCATTTTGTAATCTTTGTATGTTGGTGTTTCTGCATGCAGACATTAACAGCTACATGTAGATATTCGTATTTACCATCAACTCCAATCTTGCCGTCTCCATCCTTGTCAGCCGCTCTTAAAAATGTTTTGGTTTCTTTGTCTGTCAGGTCTCTGCCATCCTTGGCAAAGCCCTTCAGGACAAATCTAACCAAAAGAAAACAAAAGATTCAGTCAGGAGACATGTTTCTGACTTCAGTTTGAGCCTTTTTGTTGTTCTGTGCATTTGTCTCACTTCAGCTCTTCCTCCTCTATAAAGCCGCTGTTGTCAGCATCCAGCACCGTGAAGACTTTCTTCACATCATCAGGGGACTTGGACTTCAGACCGACAATCTCGAAAAACTTCTTATGGTCAAAAGAGTCAGCAACTTCATTCGGAAAGAAAAACATAAAGAAAATGTTGCAGCATCAGGGTAGCTAAAATGCTTTCCCACTTTGTTTAACATCATGTATCTTCTGTTGCAACAAAAAAGGACCCCACTGTCCATAAAGATATGAGGAAGGATGTACTGGCTTTCTGGCATGCTGAAGTAAACATATTTGCTCTTAGAAATCAAAATTAGACACAAAATTAACACTATATAATAAAAGATAGTTTACTTACTTAAATATAAAAAGCAAAATTGTTCAGGTTTTGACATTAAATTTAAAAGGGCAATTAATTGAATAACATTTGATGTTATTGCACTGTTGATGTGCCACCTCTGGGTTTTGACTACTGTTGTCAGTGATGCATTACCAAACTGATGTGTTATTGTAATATAATAGGTTAGGCAGTAACCGATTAATATATGATGTTACAATTAAAGTTTTTGACATATTATTACAGTTACTAAAGTGGATAACATGTAACTGTCTGAGCTGGAGAACCCATGGCCAATAGACTAAATAAAGAGGAGAAGAAGACTGCTTGTTTCTGTTGATAATTTACATCAACAAAAAAACACAAAAGTTTTAAAACAACAGAAGAAGAAAATAGCAGTATAGCTCCAAATTACTTTATGTCTGCTATTTAAAATTTGTCATTGAAATGAGTAAGAACATCACAGAAAAAATGCACTTTATGTGCTGGCAGGTGGGCAAGGGAACTGCCTCAAGGAACACCTGAAGGGAGTGCTCGGAAACCTTAAGCTGGAGGCTAAACGACCTGTTATAAGGAAGAAGTTGGAAGATGATAGCGCGAAATCTAACGAACAAAAGTTGGATCATTCTAGACCAGAGGTGAAAACCCTAGGAGAAGTGAGAAGGCTGGAGGCTGACTATGACATGGAGAATACGCCAACTCTTTCTACAGCTGACTTGCATGGCGTTTCAAAAGCTTGTCAGCAAAATCTGTTTTTTGGCCAAGTGATAAAGTAAAAACAATCTCTACTGATGTATGATATGATGATGATATGTTATGGTATATAAGTTTCCACAGGTATTTCATTTAACAATAATAGTATAAACAGTGGTGTCAAAAGTACACACATTTGTTACTTAAGTAGAAGTA